ACCTTTTCCCAACCTTGGCATCTTGAAGATGGTTGGCCTTCAATGCCCAGAATCCCCCAGCCAGCATGGCTGGCTGGGGAATTCTGAGCATTGAAGTCCACCCATCTTCAAGTGGCCAAGGTTGAGAACACTAGTTTACTAGATAACATGGACCATAGAACAGGTTTAAGTTCCTGTTGAATGATGAAATTCAAAACAGTACAAATGAACTGGTGTCCTTGCATTAGGTACATACTATCCTATCATGGTTCAAGCTTTGCTTTTTTTTACAAAAAAAGAACAGCAAATGGTCTCCATTGACTTTCCCCAATCAACACGCTCTTCTGCTCACAACTCCCATTTCCTGACCTCGTCCAAACACAGCCCTCGAGCCACCAGTGCCTAGTGGCTCCTTATGTTTGCCATCTTTCCAGCAGACTCACCAGATGGAGACTTCGACAGTCTACCAAGGCAGTCAAATGCTGCAGATTGACTTCTGTGGAGTTCAACACTTCTTGGATTCGATTCAGGTGCTCCTGTGAGCCAAGAGGACAGAAAGAAGTTCAGCGTAACTGTTGGCTTTTTCTCTGCGTGTCCACGGAAAGGAATGACGTATGAAACGCCACCGTTCCAAAGAATGGACCCAGCGTTACCTTAGAGGTGGGGTATTCCTTGACAGCCAACTTCATGAGCTCCAGAACATCATCCTGCATTTCTACTAGAGCTTTGTGGCTTCCGGACAGCTTCTGTTCAACACAGATAGGTAGTTTCAGTCTTTCAAGTTGAGTCAAGCTAGTCTGCATGCTGTTGCTGAACTGTGATTGATGTTATCCTAAATTCTGGAAACATCATCTACCGTATATTATTGGCTGTCCAAGAGAGCCAGTGAGGTTTGCAAGTTAGAAGCATCAGACTCAGAACGAAGGAAGGAGGACATGGGCTCAAAATTCTCTCTTGGCAACAGAACTTGAACCAGTTACTCTAATCTGCCTCGTGGGATTGCGATGATGAGCAAGCAAGCCAAACAACCCTCCATGAATGAAGACTCTAATCCATCATTACAAATTGTTTTTACTCTTCCTGTTGTCTGCCACTCAGGTCTTTCACTAGGTGAAAGAAGAGCATCGGAAGGATTTGAGAGAAGAAAGAGATTGGTTTATAGTGTCCTGCGTTCGAAGACAGCTGGGCTACGACCGCAAAAGCTTCATCTTAATTAACAGGCCTCCTTCCTTCCCCTTTATCTCATAATACTAGCGTGGCATTTGCTTTGACAGCAAACCCTTCTGTTACCCATCTTTTTCATTCCAGCTGGCAAGGCTCTCCTTTTTATCAGACGAAAAATCCTCTGGCATTTAGGAGAACGCAAGCCATGCAGTCTGCTGCTAAGACTTCTACTTCTGCCAAAGTACAGCTGACTGAAAGTGTGTAAATTGAAGGCACTCACCTGCTGAAATGGATTGGGGTACCCAGCACCGCAGACAAGGTAATAGTTCAAAGTATCTGTCGAAGGGTCAACAAAGAAGAAGAAGAAGCAATCAAGGCTTTGTATGGGACTTGGTTACATTATGTTACTCTTGTAAAACTAAATGGGTTTTGTTCTAGACGACCTGCAATGTAGAACAATGTTTCTCAACCTTGGCTCCTTGAAGATGAGTGGACTTCAACTCCCAGAATTCTGGGCGTTGAAGTCCACCCATTTTCATGGGGCCAAGGTTGAAAAACACTAACATTCAGGCAGGAGAGAAGAATCGCTTGCTAAAGGGATATGGCTGGACACATACTTCCAAAAGCAAATATTCCCAAAATTACAAAGCAGTAGTGTGGCCACCAGGCCCCATTTTTCCCTTCTGGGTCCCCTCATCAGGTTAAAAATATCCAGCTCCATTTTCAAATCAGATCAAAACTTACACTTGTTGACCAGAAATGTTTTCACAGAACTGCAGAATTGTGGAGTTGGAAAGCACCCCAAGGATCTAGTCCAACGTGCTGGAAAACCAATTAAAGCATCCAGGAGAAGTAGGTGTCCAACCTCTTCTTAGGGATAGAGACCCCACAACTTCTGTAGGCAGATTGTTCCACTGTTGGACAGATTTTACCACCATGAAGCATTTCCTTACATTTAAATGAAATCTCTGGATTGGCACGGTTTGAGATGATAACATCCTTAATTTCCTTTTCAAGAAGCTTCAGAAGGCTAAAGCACCTTTGCCTTTAATATTTTCTTCCTGTGGCATCTTATTATTCCTCTTACTTTTCAGCTTGCCCTTTTATCTTAACCCAGATGCCTTCAATTCTTATGTTACCACCAGTTCAGTGGATCTCTATACAGATAGGCTTATTCCTGATACACCACGCTACACCACTTCCTCTCCTTTGCTGCCGATTTCCGTGGAACAAGGTGTATCCTCCAAGCCCAATACTCCAGTGGTAGGATTCATCCTGCCATGTTTCTTAAATCTCTATTATAACATGCTTGCCTTTGTGACTCACAGCATCCAGCTCGTTGTTACCTATGCTTTGTGCATTAGCGTAGAGACATTTCAGATAATGGGAAAGACTTCCTGAGTTCAGCTGTGTTCCGTTTCCCTTTTCCTTTATCCTTGTCTTTCCTTTGTTTCTTTGTTAAACTAATAATTTAGCAAAGTAATTTCTCCTACATTACTCTTTCCTGCTGCATTCGGTCCAGTACTTGCCAATTCACTATTCATCAATGGTCATATGACTGTCAGCCTTACCAGGTAGACCAGACAGGAAACACAACTAGATGAGCTAATTCTACTTTACTGCAAAGCTACATTAACAGAATCTTGCAAGTCTGGAAGTACAAATCTCCCCTCCCCGACCCTTTACAGCCCAAAAACTAGGGAGTGTCTCTTCTGAGACTCTTGCCCTACCCACATTTCTGCTATGGGCTAAGCTGCCTTTTATCTGACTGTTCCTTTGGCTGCGTCTCGTGGCCCTGTCTCCCAAGGTCATTCCCACATGCCATTACAACGACTCCCAGCCCTTGATATGCATTTAAAGTACTCTTGACCAGGTTAGTCAGCCAACATGCAAAGATGTACTTCCCCTCCTTAGTGAGATGAATCCCATCTCCCCATACAGTTCCTGGTTCTGCCTGAAGCTTCTACCACTGTTGAAAAACCCAAATTTCTGCTGCTGGTACCCAGGTGGCTGCAAGGAGTTCACCTGAACAATTCTCCTTCCTCTTGCAGGACTTCTGTCATCAAGGGAAAGTGCTGATGAAACCATCAACTGGGACCCAAGATCCTTCACCCTCCTCCCCAATGCCATGAAGTCACTCTTTAGCTAAGAGGCCCAACAAAGCCAACAGGTAAAGGATTATCAATTATTTCAGAGTTATCTCACGAAAAGAGTATTTTAGCTACATATGAGGAGGAGCACTATCTACACCACCTTGAGCTCCTGTAGAAAAGGCAGGATTTCAGTCTATCAACCTAATACTGCAAATAAGGGCATCCTGCTGATAAGGACACTGTGTGCTTTCTCCAAATTAGAAAATGAACATATAGTTCATTGGTGGACTTTGTGGGAAGTGTGGCTCTGCTGGTTTGCAGCCTTCAGAATATTAAGGATGAAAATGAGAAGTGGAAGAATTTAATTAGGGAAATGATAGGCATACAAATCCATTTTTAAATTCCCCGACTGCCAAACAATTAGCAGGAAAATCGGCTGTGTTTTTTTTTTTAACGTCCAAAGGTAACTAAAATCAGAGAAATAGATAATTGCTAGAAATTAATATTTATACAACAGAGTTACAACAGCATTTTAAAGATGAAAGGAAACCATGTTTCACTGTCTTATTAGTCCAACTGATGTAGCTACCTGACAAGGAACAAGAGGAAACCATATACTTTTAAATAGATGTCCTAATTCTTCTCTACGTTGTTTTTAAAAAGATTTCCCAGAATTGCAAAACGCCATGATCAGTCTGCCAAAATAATGAATCACAGTTTTGCTCCCACTGCCATTATTTCACATCCCCCTTGATCTGATAATGATACACCACAGGTGCAAGATGGGGCAATGGCCCCTTTCAATTATATTTCCACCAACTGTGCCTCCTTCCTTCTTATTGTGGAGAACTTGCAGTATCCTAAGGAACTGCTTCATTATGAAACCCTGACAAGGCTGCACCTTCTTGGGCATTTAGTCTCATGCACAGAGACAGATACACTCAGATAAAAATAGAAGCTTGTGAAAAGGAAGTCACTTTCTTCTTCTTTTTTTGGAGAAGACAGATACATCTGGACAAAGATCATCCATGTCTCAGCAGGCTTGGAGGCTTTTGTAAGCCATGTTTCTCAGAATGTCCTTTAGGAGGCATAAGGAACTAAAATATACTAAACATAAGGAACTAAAACAACATGAACGTTATTTTCAGAGCATCCTCTTCTGCTTGACTGTGAGGGGAAAAAAAACCCCCACAGGCTTAAAAGACTGCCAAAACTCATGGTAAGAATTAGACCTCCTCTTTTTCTCTTTGTTGGTTTTTAAAAGTCCCTCATTCGTGTGACTCCTGAAAATGCCCTGGAAATATGCAGCCCAAGTTGGCTGAAGCTCAAAACCCCCCTGAGATACCTCCTGCTCCTCTTTTAGCAGCTTTTCCTCCAGTTCTGCTAGAGGAACTGAAAGAACTATTTTAGTTCTTCCTTCCCAAACTCTAAAACTCAGAATGTGACAAACAAGAAGTAGAATTGTATAGTGCATATGTTTGCACAGAATTTACAAATACGTTTCGTTTTCGTGCAAAAGACTCAGTTTGATTTGGTGGTTTGGATGTTTGATAGTAGTTAGATATTTCTGGATAATTTCTTTTCCCAACCTTCTATTTCCTACCGTTTCAGTGATGTGGAGTGCAGAAAATAAATGAAAATACAAGAAGGGTACAGATCCATCCATACTCACTGCAATCCTTGGTCTTTTGAGAAACTTTCTTTTTGACCTAGTATTGCTTTTCTCCTTCACCAATCCTCCATTTCTTGCCTTTGTACAAAGAAACAACTTCTCCCAGAATCTCTTAAAATCAAAAAACTATCCATTTCTTAGGGCTTAGGACAACCCTTACCCGCAGTCAGCACTGTGTAGGCCTCTACTGTTCTGGAGACATAGGCATCAGGGTTAATGCAAAAGTCACTGGAACCCTAGAACAGCAAAGAAAACCAGAGGTAATTCATGGAAGAAACAGCCATGCACGCTGCAAAACAGGTGACCCGTCTGGAGATCAACATGGGGAACAGCAAACACATTTTGGAAAGAAGGAATCAAAACATGCTGGTGAGTCTGGGGAGCCCTGAAGAATAACACAAGCTGCAAGATCATATGCAGTCTTTTGGACGTGGTGGAAAATCTATAGCCCACCTCCATCTCCGAATCGTCAAATCCAAAATCTGCCCTGCATATAGAAAAGCAGTCTGTGTGACAGAATGTGGCTAGTTTCTATAAGCATATTTCTAGGACAATGGCTAGAATGTTCTTTTTTAGTTCTGTTTTCCCCAAATCTCCAAATGTTTGGAGCGAGGATGAATCCTTTTATCAACTTATTTGATAGCTAATGTTAAAACTCATCGTCTCCTTGAACTACAGGAAAATAAATACCAGGCTATGTCCTACAAAAATACTTGCCAACGTGCATGCAGGCAATCACTGGGCTAGGCCATTGTTGGCTTAATGAGACTTTAATAAGGAAAACACCATTGGCTGGCTTTACCCAACATCCTAAGCCCCAAACAGATCGCGACTTGGAGCGGTTAGCAAACGAGATCAATGTCTCTTTCATACAGTTACATGGAGAAAACTACAACTGTCAGGCTCTATGAGAATCTTTTGCACACAGACACTGCTGGTGCACGCCCATGAGATAATTCTTGGGCTCAGCATCTACCAATGGCACAGGATGTTCTCCTGCCTAGTGAAATTCAGGGCAAATACTTACCACGGCCACCGCCAACTCAAGCCCCAGGGACCCCCAGCTCACAGTAAGGGCGAGCACCCCGAGAAGACACACTCTGCAGGAGGAAAAGAAGCAGATTCAATACGCAGACACGTTGGCTCCAGTTCTGATGCCTTAATCTGATGCCTTAATCTGCCCTGAAGATTGTAATTCAGAGTTCAAAGCAACGAGGAAGAGAGAAAGTGACCGATCAATTTATGGCAACAGTTATCTGGCAGTTTAAAGATGTGGCCGCTGGAAGCAACTCCCGGCATTCTTAAGACCACACTCCTATCAGCACCACATAAATAATTCTTTGCAAGGAAGCTGAAGCCAAGTTGTTTCCACCCAAGGAATGTACTTCCTTGCCTTCAGATTTCATACATGCTGAATCCGTGAAGCTCGCTTTGGATGGCCAGAAGCTGTGACATCCAATGTCCGCAGCCTTGGCCAAAGATCTGAGGACGGAATCAGCATCAGCAACTTTAAACCAAACGTCAGCTGAATTCTGCAGGACCGCTGAACTGCCCACTGGGTGAAAGAGCTTTGCAAATCCTCAAACGTGAGGCCACATTTTGCGGTCTCTCAAGGCATAGGAAAAGCCAACAGAGGCAAGTGCACAGAAGATTCCCGCTTGTCAAAACAAAGCCTTTTAATTAAGATGACAATTTGCATTGCTTGCCACATTAAGAAAACCTCGTACACATTTTTTTCCTGAATATTAGTGATCAAACGTGTGGAGCTGAGAATTTCTGCTGATTTTTTGGGGGGGGGGGAGTGGGGAGGGCAACACCAAGGGGACTACACTTTATCTAAACATGTCAAAGCAACTACTGTCTTCTGTTTAGCAGGTCTACTCTTCTGCTGCCTAAATTCATTTAGCAATTTCACCATTGGGTGCCATGGAATGTAATTCTTTATGGTAAATACTTTACACCCAGAAATGCCCGATTTATACCCTTGCAATCATTAAAAGCTCATTTCTAAATCAGAGCCCAAAGTTCAACTCCTGCTTCCGAGACTTATAAAGCCAGAAACTGACACAACTTGGATGGTCTTGGGAAACACCTATGTTTTCTTCAAATAACCGATATCCAGTGAGTTATGACATTAAGATTACAATCTTGGCCATATTAAACAAGTCTATTATCTTCGCCTACAGCCCATCCATCAAAACAACAGCAGGAACTTTGCAACCATTACATCATTTAAATCTCTCCCTGTGTGAGGAAAATATACCTTTGGGTGAAAGAAGCAAGTTTTTAGGGGCCTCAGACGAATGGGATCGCCTTAATAAAACCAAAACACATAGGAATGTGCAGCACCCTTGAAACTGGTGTGAACTAAGCTGATTGTAAACTCCTGATCACAAACATCCCCATAGCAACTTAAGGGAGGATGTTTTCTTCCTGGCATTTGGCACCTTGAACTAATTTGTTTCTTCTTTTCTTCTTCCCCGTAGATACCAGTTGTCCTTGCAGATAGCAGATAACAGAGGGGCAGAAAGTAATTTGAGAAGTATGGCTTATTTAGGTATGCCCGCATCATCATATGAATATGTATGCTTATGTGTTCTTTTTCCCTTCCCCTTCTTGTAGAACTGTATAAATATCAGGGCATCCGTTTTGCCTACAGGGGAGTGTCTCCCACTAACCCTTGGTGGGGTTCCCCTCCAGTACGTACTATCTAATAAACACTGCAGTGAACCCTTGATTATTTTGCAGTTGTATCCTGAGTTCTGATTCCACACATACATCCTGGAGAGAATCATATTCTTGCCAGGGAAGCATCAAATGATCTACTTGCATTTCTTCTCAATTAACTTCTCAATTAACTTCACAAATATAGTCTGCCCAGTATCACAGGAGAATAGTTGATTTTAATGGTCTTCAAGCTGTTTTTATTAGCATCAACTTACCCAATAAGGATGGCCTTTGAGTTTCTAATGAGTCCAAATAGCACCAGAAGACATATCAGGACATGGAACATGAGCAGGCCCAAATACCCCAACCACCTATGATGAAACCAACATGTATAGATGGTTAAGACATAAAACTGTAGGCTTGGAGAAGTCATAGGACCATTGATTCCAGGAGTCAGTTAGCCAATGTTGGGTTTTGAGAAGTAAATGGCATTACACCGTTTCAAAGACCTGATTGCTTCCGAGCTACGTGCTTTGCATCATTTTTAAGGCAATTCAAATCTAAATTATTATTCCTGACCAATGTTCCCAAGCATTTCCATCCAAAGAGAAAAGAAACTAAAGCACCTTAAGTTTGGCCAGTAGGCTACATAAGAAGCCACACTTCAATCCATAGGTCCCACATTCAGGGGCATCCTCAGCAAACCGCAGTTAGACTAAAGTGACTCCATGAGTGCAGCGACATCATTTGTCCCCCATCCCACAGATTAAGATCAAATAAAATCGTGCCCAGGGCACATTCTGCTCACCTGTACCAGTCGTACAGATCAATACGAATGGCCAACTCTTCTAATGAAACCTGGTGGTTCTTCCAGAAAGGAATCTCTGTAGTTTGTCTTACCAGGTCATCCAAGAGTCCCTGGAGCTTTTGAACCACATGCAGATAATCTGTCTTCTTGCTGAATATTACCTCGAGGTCCCCTAAATTGGGCTCTGCAGTTTTGTTTAGAGCAATGGCAGTGTCATAAACCTGGAGGTACAGATACATCTATGTTCAGTTAGCACTCTTCGAAGGGCGCAAAGACAACAAGCAAGTTGAAGATTGGCTTCAAGAGGGGATAATTCCAAGGCAGCAACATTCAATATTTTTACTCAGCAAGGAGCTTGTTTCAATAGTGTTGACTTGTCTGCCTAAGTTCATATAGAGGGCTAAGCCACAGTTATGGTTATATATGGTTGACTTCATTAGCTTAATGAACCGAATACATCTCAACCAGCGAAGGTACACCCAACATCCCACACCATCATGCACTGTTCAAATGCAACAACAGCTGGTTTGCTCCTCATGCTGAGCCAAATACATGATGGCTTGAAGGAATGTGAGAATCTGGCCCTTCTTTTGGATGTACTTGGCTCTGCAATCACAAACACACACACATATTTTTATGTGTCTTCACTTCTGATGGCAGAATGAGAGCACTGCTTTCTATCCTAGGATATTATCTACCAGCCTAATGGTTGCTACTGTCTGCTGTTGGCAGCAGAACCTACTCAACCAGCATGCCTAGTTTCAGACTCTCTTTCTTATGGTGAGGACAACTGGGTTGCTCAACAGCCAAGGGAGCTCCATTCCATTCCCTTGCATCTCCCCTGTTAACAGCCATTGAGAATTAGTTGAAGGACAAGAACACAACAGAAAGGCAGAAACATTAGTGAATGAGACCTTGAGGACAGCAGTTTATCACTTCTGGGCCTATCCCTCATCCTCGGGGACAGCCACTCACCCGGTCTTGGACACCAGCCACTGTGCGATTGGCATGTCGTAGGGAGTATGTTAACCGATGAATGCCATCACTGGTCTCCCCATTTCCATAGAAGCCCACAGCTATGCCAGCACTGGAGAGAGACAAAAGGCAACAGGTAGCTGATCTCCATCTATACCGATAGCTGCTGCCTTGAAAAATGAGTCCTTTCTTCTCGGGTGAAGTTCTCCATAGGAGCCCAACAATATGCTCTGGGCTGCAACCAAGACTGCAGATCAGTGTTCTTCAAACTTGGCAACTTTAAGATGTGTGGACTTCAACTCCCAGAATTCCCCAG